TCCGGAAATATCAATCAAATATTTTTCTTGATTCGTTGTTAAAGTTAATTGATTCCACTACTTATAAATATAACCTCAATTGGTCAATTGAAAGATGGCATATCTTTCAGATAGAAGATCCCCATGCTGAAGAAATATTCTGTCGAATCAATGGCGTTGAAAAGCAACGATCAAAAACAAATGCGATGATTTTCGACATTCCGACCTTAATAGAATACCTAACCCGATTTGTAACTATGGAAGAAGGCGATGTTTTACTTACGGGTACTCCTGCTGGGGTATGCCGAGTCCTTCCTGGTGACTGTATTGAATTCGGTATTACTAATCGCATCACTTGTAATTTTGTTGTACAGTAATCGTGCCATTCTCAATGGTTAGTCCTTTGTATATTTTTAACTTTTACGAGACTTCTAATATATACTCATTACTAAAGTAATCGCTAGAGTAACCTATCTCAACGTGCGCAAATGCACGTACCTTTTCCGAAAGGTTGAGAAAAATCTCTGTTTGAATTGTTCGATACACCCTAAATTTTTATTTTATAAGATTTTTGGTATATGAATTATTTTATAATTCTTGAATTTCTAAAATTTTAAGACATTTCCATGTATAGAATCTTTTTGCGCTTTTTGTAGTTATATACATTTTTTTCTTTGTTCGTAAAAAAAATAAAGATCTTTGAACTTCTATAAAGTCGCGTTTGTGCTTCCAATAATATCATCGGATTGACTTCGTCTCTCCACACTGTTCGAGCAACTACTAAACTTTCAATTTTTCACCCTGCTTTTGTTGAACAACATTTACACTTAATTTCAGTATAAAAATGATAGAAAGGAGGGCCTATCTAGGCTTAACATTTATATCTCGTCTTGAAAATGAGTATTTTTCCCCCTTGGTGACTTTCCACCGCTCCCATCTTACGCGCTCGTCAACCATAGAAACTTGAAGATACGGTTAAATTGAAAGTAGAAACTAAGAAGAGAGTCGTGATACCTAGAAGTTGACTTAACGCCAAATCACTCAAATCAGATCACAAGTACAACAGCGAGAGATGTCACACCGGTAGCTGGGATAGATTTTCAAAGTAGAGAGCATTTGATACCAAGAATATTTTTGATAATCTAGTGGCTCATGTTAATGATCCTGTCACTGTATGTATGCCAATACAAATAAAACAAAACAAAACTTAATGGAGTGCATAAGGAAGGATAAGACTAGCCCTGAACTGATTAGCTCAAAGAATTAATCAAACAACTGCAGCTTTAACCTCGCAATGAAAGTAATAGTTTTATTGTAGATGCTTAAATTTTAAATACAGAAAAGCAGACAGTCACCGGTAGTGAATGCTAACATCCTGATTAGAACTCCTAATTTTGATTCTGCTTGGATTTGCTTGATATTCGTGGCTTTGATCAGGTATTTATTGCAGATTTTTTTAGTGCCATACCCGTACAAGCGTTCAAGAAACTGTTCCTCTCCATTCTCGTTATGGCCCAGAACGCATGAAGTACTTAATGATGTGATTTGAAGCTTCGAAGTTCTTAAACAAAAAATTGGTTAATTTTATCCGAATTATAGTTCATCTTTTTTTCTGTCCTTGTGCTAATAAGACCGATAAGTTTGCTTTCCTTTTGGAATGGATCACCTGCAGCGCGAGAGAATGACGATATGGCTTGCTGACCCTAAGGCTTTTATTATGCAGATATATCTCCTAAATATAAAGCAGAAAGTCTGTATGAATATATGTTGTATGTTCGGAATACAAATTTTTCTATCCGAACCGATAACCTCATACCTGCACACATACATTTTAAATGCCAGTGGGTAACGCAGGCTACTTTATACAGTAATTAGTCGTCTGATGGCGTTAATTTGCAAATTTTTGGCCAAATTACGTTTTCCTTGAGAATGCAGTGATTCAGTCGTTATCAGACTACTTAAG